TATGACCTTCCCTATTGTTTATTCATTTCCAAATATGAACAAAATTAATTAAATTTCCTCAATTCTTGTCTGATTCAATTGTCTGCAGGTCAGCAACTTAGATGTGTGCTGGTTTTCAGTCACCAGGTATTTGTTTCTTGTACACTTAACAAAATACTTAGTTGCATGATCCTAGTAAGCAGTCATTAGATGTGAATGAAAATATTATCCTGTGTGGCAGGAGAATGCTTGTAAGTAATTTTCACATCCATATGTATCATTAGCTTTATATACTAAGGGCCTGTTTAGTTAGTATAGTATGGTAGTTAACTCTTGGCTTTCGAAGGAGAAATGCCATAATAATAAGCGTGCTATTAACTTGTCTAAATATAGGGTTCTATTTACCCTGTAATTATTTCGTCCCTACGAAAATTATGCAATCAGTCGAACGTGTTTAGAATTTACTAGGTTGAAATATACTGATGGCTATGCTGGTTGATTTGGTGAAGAATGAGGTTGCACAAATCTACTGGCCTTTGTGTGTGTGATATGGAGTTGCAGTGAGAAAGTCCACAGTGTGGCAACTTATGGTAATGTCCTTGTATATTTGATGGCCAAACAACATCTTTCTTTATTAAAGTTATGTGTTTTTTACTAAGGCATTTTTTCTTTGATGGCAGATAACAATACTTCAATTGGTTGTCTTATAAGGATAAGGATACTCGTAAAAATAGCTGCACTGTATAAATTCATTTTATTAAATTATTCTTGCATGTAGATTATGCAATCTTATTTTTACTTTCAATGACCTGTGTAGTTATTTCCCATTTTATGAAAATATAGGTTAACTACCTCAGAGAACCTTGTTGTCTCAATTCAATAGAGTATCGAATGGGCGGATGCACAAGGGAATTGGAACTGACGGAATGTAGCACAAAAAAGTGAAAGAAAGAGTTGAGGAAGTGAAGAAATCTGTTGTTGCAGAATTTGTTATAGTTTGCTCAAATCCATCCGAATAGTTTGATTTAATATTATTTAATTGTAATGATGTACAGCTATTCATAAATACATTCTTGTAATTAATTATAGACAACTTCTATTTACTACAGTTCAAATTGTCTATGTTGAATGATACTTATAGGTATTTAATTAGAAATTTGAAGGTTATACTTCATTATAGCAAAATATAATTTCAGCTTTATATTTATTGTAATTGTCCTCTCAAAGTATGTGCAAATGTCAATGATTAATTATTATATTAGCAAGATGTGTTGTACAAGTGTCACTAATAACTCAAGAATTTTCCGACACTTCTAAATGTCGTAAACGAAATAAGTTGAAAACCCGTATTTAATTTGCCGACATTATGTGAAATGTCACAAGTTTTAAAGCGACCTTTTTATAAGAGTCTGTAAACTAAATGTCGTAAATCTTTTACCGACATTAAAATAAATGTCGGAAAATTTCTGACATTAAAATTTACGACACTTGAACTAAATATAAAATAAATGTTGGAAAACGATTTTGTGACATTTATGTGGCTTAATACGACATTTATAAAATGTCGTCATATGTCATATTTCTTGTAGTGGAAGTAGTGACGAGGCTAAGGCGGTTCACTTACATTAACCTGTACGCAATATTAGTAACAACAACAAATAATATAAATAAATCAGGTAACTCATTTATAATAATTGAAGCCAATTCAGCAGTCGTAACCAATTATCATTTCCATCAATTCTGTTGCAGCGTGCAACCCGCTCTCATAATATATTCACATTCAATGCTGTTGCAGCGTGCAACCCGCTCTCCCAATATATTCCTTTAAATCAAGTCTGTCATATATTTATTTCAATCAAGTATATATAAACTTTTAAATAAGTTTGTTGCAGCGTGCAACCCGATCCCCCAATATTGACTTTTAAATAAGTCTATTGCGGCGTGCAATTTGATCCCCCAAATATTGACTTTTAATAAGTCTGTTGTGGCGTGCAACCCGATCCTCCAATATGGACTTTTTAATAAGTCTGTTACGGCGTGCAACCCGATCCCCCAATATATTCATTTCAATCAATTTTGTTGCGGCGTGCAACTCGATCCTCCAATATATCCATTTACCAATTCTTATAGAAGAAGTTTTTCCAATAAATGCAACAATTAATATAAAATTATAAGACAACAAGCATACAATAATTATAATTTAATTATGAAACAAACAATGACAAATAGCAAATTATTATAGAAATCAGGGAGAAAATAGGTAGTTTAATATTTAATAAGCTAGATGTCAAATAACAATTAAGACACATAATTCAAATAGCATGTAACAATTAATGCAGGAATTCAAGAATTAATATTTGACAAAGAATAGGAGAGAAACAATTATTATAATAATTAATTCGTGATTTAAAACGATTTATGATTTTTTAAATTAATTATGCAAACAATTAATTTGACGACGTATAGACACTCGTCACCTCGCCTATACGTCGTTCACATGCATTTCACATAACAAATAGTTTAAGGGTTCTATTCCCTCAAGTCAAGGTTAACCACGCCACTTATCTCGCTTTGCAAAATCCAATCAATTACTCGACCACGGCTTTTCCTTTTAAATTTGTCTCCAAAAGCTTCAAATCTATTCATAAATAATTCAATATACTCAATACGAATCATAGGAATTAATTCCATATGAATTTACTAATTTTTCGGATAAAAATCCGAAATTTATTAAAATATTCGATAGCGGGACCCACGTCTCAAATCCCGAAAAAACTCGCGAAATCCGAAGCGAGTTCAACCATACAAAAATTATCCAATTCCGATGTCAAATGGACCTTCAAATCTAAATTTTTCGTTTTTGAAAGATTTTATAAAAATCTATTTTTTCTTCCATAAATTCACGGATTCATGATGTAAATGAGTATGGAATCATGAAATATAATCAATATAGGATAAGGAACACTTACCCCAATTTTTTCCGTGAAAATCGCCCAACATTTCGCCTTAACCGAGCTCAAAACGACCAAAATATGAAAATAATATCGGACTCTTCGATTTATACACTTCCCAGGCATTTCCGCACCTGCGGTGCCTGGCCTCGCATTTGCGAGAAAATCTCGCATCTGCGAAAAGGGGCTGCCAGACGAGGCCTCACATCTGCGGAGGAAAAATGCGCACCTGCACTGACCTCCGCTTCTGCGATTATTGTGTCTGCTTCTGCGGACGCGCGGGGTGCGTGCAGGTTTCCGCACCTGCGGACTTTTGCCCAGCCACGCCCGGGCGAATCTGCGATGGAAGGTTCGCTTCTGCCAGCTCGCACCTGCGGTCAAAAATCCGTAGGTGCGATTACACTAGAAGGCCAAATTTCAGATTTTTTGCTTAAGTCCAATTCTTGTTCCGATTTCGATTCGAATCACACTCGGGGTACTCGGGACCCTGTCCGAATATACCAACAAGTCCTGTAACATAATACGGACTTACTCGGGGTCTAAAATCACGTCAAATAACATCGAAATTACTATTCACACCCCGATTCGAACTTTTAAGTTTCAAACTTTCCAATTTGTAAATCTCGTGCTAAAACATATTAAATGAATCCGGAATGACTTCATATTTGGCACACAAGTCATAAATGACTTAATGGAGCTATTCAAATTTTCAGAATCGGATATCGACTTTGATATCAAAAAGTCAACCTCGTGGTCAAACTTGAAAATCTTTAGCCTTTAAATTACTAGTTTCCGTTAAATGGTCATAACTTGAGTTAGGGACCTCCAAATTGAATTCCGGGCATACGTCCAAGTCCCAAATCACGATATGGACCTACCGGAACTGTCAAAACATTGATCCGGGTTCGTTTGCTTAAAATGTTAGACCAAAGTCAACTCAATTGAGTTTTAAGGCTCTATTTCACTTTTTAATCTATTTTTCATATAAAAACTTTCCAGAAAATTTTACGGACTGCACACGCAAGTCGATGAATGATAAATAGTGCTTTTCGAAGTCTTAGAATACAAAATTACTTATTAAATTTAAAGATGACATTTTAGGTTATCATAGTTCTTCAAACTAAACACTGACGGAGCAGCAGAAGGAACACGAGGCCTGGCAGGTACAGGGGGCATTTTCCGAAATTCAGTTGGCAACTGGATCATGGGTTATGCTGGCACCACCTTGGCTCCAACTCCTTTCATGCGAGAACTGGTGGCACTCTACTATGGGTTGAAAGTAGCAGTTCACAACAACTTCCAACCTCTGAAAATTAATGTTGACGCATTAGAGGTAATCAACACATTACATAATGTATCCAATACTGACCCACCTCTTGTGCATGATTGCAGGTTCCTGATACGCCAGCTGCATAACCCTAAGATCACGCACATATACAGGGAACAAAACATGGTTGCAGATCGACTAGCACATTTTGGGTCAGATTTGACAGGGAGTAACATCACGTTTTTTGAACAAACACCCCTTTTTTGATGCATCAAGTAGCAGAAGGCCAAACATTCCGATACACAAGTCGGAATCCTGAGCATGCAACAACTAGCAAGGACTCCTCAAGCAACACTGTACTACCACATCGCTTACGTACTCCCACTTTTTGTAATTCACAAGGTTCTTTTTTTGGTAACACATATAGATATGTGTAACAATAGCACTACTAATACTATTGTAAACCTAGATGCTACTGCATCAACGTCTGTAAGTGCTTCCATGCACAACCTCTCTGTATCCACTATATAGCTAATATAATATAATCTTTTCTACCAAAAAAAAATAATTCTTAAAGGTTCACAACTCTAGTGAACACAATATCATAGTCACATGACATTGAAAAATTGTCAAATTAGTGCATAAAGAAATGAACTGCGGCCTCGACAAGATGAGCTCATTAGGGTTTGGCTACTCTACCAAAATCCTAATTCATGTATAGGTTACATATGTCCTTCAAAAACGATCTCAACAATTCCATAAACTCTCAGAATATGCACAAAGAGATCAAATGTATGATATCCGAAATTTCATGAAACTCTTGGAATATTCATCAAGAGATAAAAAAAAAAGTCAAATATGTCTTGCTCAAAGTCCTACGTTCGAGAAATACGCCATCACGTAGAACAAATCGGAGGGAAGAATCAAGGGATAAACATATTTGCAACCCGCAATGTTTATTTTCTTGTTTCACATGCTTTATGGATGTGGATACTCTACTACTACTACATAATAATTTAGTCGTCATTTACGCGCTCAATGTTACTACTACTACATAATAATTTTTGGTGCGAAACACTTAACTTACCAAGTCAGCACTTAGGATTCAATAAATAGATATAGATTTATTAACTGGATATATTCAATAGGTTACTGTTAAAGTTTAAGTGTCCAAATGAAAATAATGTCAAGTTTAAGGACTATCTATGTATTTGGCCATTTGATTTTATGTTCTTTTTGGTACAATGGGACATGAGTTCGCTGAATAGGTGTGTATGCTTTTGTATATGTTATATAAGAGATGCAACTTTTTATTCACAATAAGGCTGTGGTGAGAATGATATTAAAATCCATAGATACAGTGACGGGGTAAGAATTTACGTTAAGGGGGTTTAAAAAAAAATAAATTAAAAAGTTACACGAGATTGTGGCTAGTGGGAATTGAACCAGTGCCCTCACAAAGATTTTGAACCACCTTAGCCGCTGAATGAGGTGAAATTGATTGATAGCATGTGGTCGAATGATAAAGTGACACGTGGAACCGAAGACAACAAATGACGAGTCGACAAATAACTGACATCGATCGGGTGTGAAGTTTATAACTAGTACCATGTGGATACCGAAAGAAGCATAACCGAAAATAGAGATTCAAAAGCTTGGCATCGGATAAGTATTTAATTAGTAGCCATTACAAAAAATAGCATTTAAAGCATTATACGCCCAATGACATTTTTATTCTCATTCAAGAAAAGTATGATTCTAGGATCTTGTCTCCCCAGGTAGAACTATAAATAGCGGGGTTAACAACAATTGTAGACACATGAAATACTCTACACACAAAAGTTGTAATCTATTTTCTTACTACGATAAATTCAAGCATTTGAAATTTTTCTTGCTC